GGGAGGGAGGGAGGGAGGGAGGCACCCAACTCCCTTCTTGCGGGGAGCAGGTGCTGACAGGCGGGATTCGGGACGGGGACAGCTCCAGCGACACCTGGGACGGGAGATTCCCTGAGATCCCGTCCGAACCCAGCCTGGAAGTGCCGCGGTTCCACCCAGCCCCCGCAAGGACAAACTCCAACCTCTGGGAATATCTGGGAATTCTTTAAGCTCAGGGAGCCAGCCGGGGGCACAAAGCAGGCGTGGGGGTCACGGTGTGAAGAGGTAGAAGTTTATTGGAATATAAACATTCAGATAACCTGTAAGATAGAAAAAAACCAACAACAACATATACAGACACTTGTTGGAAGGAGACGTTGAGGTATTTATCCACCGCCTAGGCTATCACGTTTGTTTTTATTTACTTATTTATTATTTTTTTTTTTCTTTTAAATAGGTAAGAAAACTAGTTAGCAAGGCTGCTGCAGCTGGTTGGGGAGAACATCTGATCGCAGTCTCCCCTGGGAACGTTCGCGTTCGCCGCGGGAGCCTCCCCTCATCCCACCCTCCGCGCCCTCCCCGCAGCCCCGGCAGCGGGCTCGGCTCGCTTTTCCCCCCAGGAGCGCCGGGGGAGGGAGCAAGCTGGGTGTTTGTACTTTTTTGGCTGGTGTGTGGAGCTGGGGGAGGATGGAGCGACGCTGCAAAGCGGGAGCAGAGCCCTCGGGAACGTCCTGCTGGCAGCATCAAACCCTGAGAACCGCGCGGGGCTGCGGCGGCCCCCGCCCAGCCTCCCCCGCTCTCTGCTGGTTTCCAGCACCCCCAACCCAAAGCCTGGCAGCTCAGCAGGAGACCCGCAGCTCAGGCTGCCAGGGCCAAAGCCAGGCCGAGGGAAAGGGTTAACTCTTCACAGTCTGCATGGTCCTTGTCACCCTGGGCTGGGAAAAGGACCGGTTTATTGTTGCAGCTTATTTAACTGAGGTATCTGTTAGGCTTTCCAGACCTGATTCTTTCCCTGAATTGGATACAAAACAATCTGTTAGTCCCTGGCTAGTTCCAGTCTAGGTTGAGTAAAGCTTATAAACATTAATACTCTAGTAGTGTCCAAGCAATTCAGTGATTCGAGTGCCTTTCTGTGCAAGAAAACACAACGTTAGCAAGTGAGACAAAGCAACCCCACCCCGGAGCAGCCTCTGCTCCCCGGGGCTGGGGAGCAGAGCAGAGGGAAAAGCAAAAAGTGCCCCAGTCCCACTCAGAGGAAACAGCTCCAACCCCACCCCCGAATAAAATAAAAAACAAACAAAAAAACAACTAAAAGGAAAAAAAAAAAAATTTAAAAATCATCTGATAAGAGTCCCAGAGGCTGCAAAATCCTCTGGGGGTCTGCGGGGAGGAAATGCCAGGGAGGCTGCAGGGTCAGCCTGGCTCCCCCAGGCACAGGGAGGGCACCGGGAACAGCAGCATCCCTTCAGGACATGTGCATTCCCAGCTCCTGGCGGGGCAGGATAACCCCAGCACGCCGGGGGAGGCAGCACCAGCACAGAGCCCAGAGCTGGGGAAAGCCAGGACAAGGCACAGATCCCTTTTTGGCCCCGTTTTCCCACCGGACACAGGTCCTGGGATGGTGCTGGAGCTCAGCTCCTGGAGGGTGGGGAAGCCACTGCTCCTCTGCTCAGCCTTGTCTGAACTCCCTGTCTTTGGTGATCGGTTTAGAAGCGAACACAAATAAAAGCAAACACAAAGTCAGCAAACCCACCTAACGAAAACCCCCAAGCGATAGGATATGCCAATACTTCCTGAAGAGGTTAAAAAAAAAACAACCAACCCAACACAAACAAAACCAACCCAACAAGTACATATCTGAGGTATTTCATCTGCTCAAAAAAACCTGACTTGGGCCTGGAGCACGGGAGGGACGTCACTGGGGCAGGAGGGATGGCAGGGACGTCACCAGGGGCACGGGGAAGGACAGGGACAGCACGAGGCCACCGGAGCAGCTGATTCACAGAGCAGGGAACTCCGGCTCTGCTTCCAGCCAGGGGTGCCAGGGCTGGGAAGGGCTGGGTTCCCTGTGCTCTGCCTCTCCCTGGGGAGCAGAAGGTTTCCCCTGCTGGGGTACAATCGGAGGGGGGGTCTGTTCAGAGCCCCAGATCCCCACACTGACCACAGCCAGGTGCCCGGCTGGATGCCAGCAGCACCCCTGTGCTCAGCCCGGCAGAGCTCCCAGAGCTGCTCCAGGGAGCCTGGGCCAGCCCAGGGCTGGCACACGGAGCCCCAGCAGCGTGCCCAGGCTGTCCGTGTCACTGCTCAGGGGACACGGGACACTCAGGGGTGCCCAGGGCTCCAGGGGGGAGCTGGCACCAGCCAGAGCAGCTGATGGTGCCAAAACCCTGGAGAGGAAGGGGAGGGAGGCTCAGGAGCCACAGCAGGAAGGAGCACAAGCAGATTGCCATGGGAGGACAGGGCCAGGCACCCCTGGCTCCCAGGATTGTCAAAACACGGAGCCGTGGCTGGGAAGAGCCCTGGCGGTTCCAGCACAACTGGGGTTCCCAGCCCTGCCCTGGTGACATCCCGGCCATGTCTGGAGCCCATCCCTGATTGAGAAACGCCAGGTGTGCCCCCTCCAGGGCAAGGGAACACCACAAACCCTGGGAGGAGGAGGAGGAGGAGGAAACAAAGAGCAAATGGGTGGAAGGAAAGGGTGGGGGAAACAAAGCAAAAAAAGGCCGGACAAAGAGACAATGAAGGAAAACTCGCTGGCATGGGAAGGTTTCACCACCACCACCACCACCACCACCATCATCATCATCCTCCTGTTGCTGGCCAGCCACGAGAGCAGGTTCCTTGAGGTGAGGTATCTGTGTGCCCCGGGGCAGTGCCCGTCAGAGGGACCAGCTGGTGGAGGGCTCTGCGCCAGGCGTGCCCCGCGATGAGGTAGGGCTGGGGGAGCAGTGGGAGCTGCTGCTGCTGCTGCTGCTGCTGCTGCTGCTGCACGAGCTCTGCGTTCCCGAGCCGGCCAGGAGCTGCACCACGGGCTTCTGGGCAAACAGCACCCCTGTGGGCACAGGGCGGCTCAGCCTGGCACGGGGAGGGCTCTCCCACCCCAAGGGTCCCCATGGCCAGGCTGGCTCCGCAGCGCAGATCCCAGAGGACTTCTGCCCTCGGAGAGAAGGGGTTATCCCCTCGGGTCAGGGTCAGGCAGAGCCAGGCCTCCCATGCGGGATTTGCCCGAGGATGCGTGACGTGGAGAAGGGAGCTGCTCCAGCGGGGACAGCTCCTGCTGGAACAGCCCAGCCCAGCTCCTCCTCAGGAGAACAGGGACAATGCTCCTTCCTACTAACACTTCCACGGAGATTCCAACCCCCTGCCCTCGGATTTTATAGCACAGGCACCGCAGCAAAGGCGCTCATCCTGCCCAGCCCAGCGAACAAGAATCACCTCCTGCTGCCACCTGGCAGTGACCACCCCCATCCCACCCATTCCTGTTCCCAGGGGGGCTCTCCCATTCCCAGGGGGCTCTCCCATTCCCAGGGGGCTCTCCCATTCCCAGGGGGTCTCCCATTCCCAGGGGGCTCTCCCATTCCCAGCAGAGCTCTCCCATTCCCAGCAGAGCTCTCCCATTCCCAGGGGGCTCTCCCATTCCCAGGGGGCTCTCCCATTCCCAGGGGGGCTCTCCCATTCCCAGCAGAGCTCTCCCATTCCCAGGGGGCTCTCCCATTCCCAGGGGGGCTCTCCCATTCCCAGGGGGGCTCTCCCATTCCCAGGGGGGCTCTCCCATTCCCAGCAGAGCTCTCCCATTCCCAGCAGAGCTCTCCCATTCCCAGCAGAGCTCTCCCATTCCCAGCAGAGCTCTCCCATTCCCAGGGGGCTCTCCCATTCCCAGGGGGTCTCCCATTCCCAGGGGGCTCTCCCATTCCCAGGGGGGCTCTCCCATTCCCAGGGGGGCTCTCCCATTCCCAGGGGGGCTCTCCCATTCCCAGGGGGGCTCTCCCATTCCCAGCAGAGCTCTCACCAGCGTAGGTGGTGCCGTTGATCTCCACAGACATGTTGATGCTGCCGATGCCATTGTGGGACAGGTTCAGAGCCGCCGAGTCGCCCTTGTCTGGTGCCAGGGAGGGAGGGAGGCAGAGTTAGGGGGCATGGACCCCATCCCCTCCACCCCCAGAGGTGAACAGTGCCCCCCTGCTGCCCCCTTTTAGGGCGGGAGGTGCCCACCCAGCGCCCTCATTCCCCAATCCCTGCCAGTGCCGGGACTGGATGGGGCTCCTGGCATATGGGAAACATCCCTGCCCATGGCTCTCGGGTCCCTCCCAACCCAAACCTATTCCCTGAGGAGGCTACAAAGGTGTTGAAACGCTTTGGTGAGGCTGGGAGGCGTTTGGAAATCTTTCCCAGCAGGAATTCCCTCCCCAGGAAGGGCTGGGAGCGCAGGAGACAAGTCCCGATTTCACTCTCAGCTGGATTTTGCTGGATGTGCTCGGACTGCAGCAGCTCCAGTGGCCGCTGGAGGGAGGGAGGGAAAACCCAGGGACACCCCATGAAAATCGGCATTTTCTTCCATTCCCTCAGCCTGGGGAGTGATGGGCACGGGAACAACAAGAAACTCTTCCAGGAGCTCCTGAATCTCCACGAGAGCGAGCCTGGATTTTGGGATTGCTCCTCCACGGAGGGCAGCAAGGCCTCCCCCCCTAAAAACCCCACAATATTAATGATGAACCACAAGTGTCATCAAGCCATGCTGAGTACACCCAAACCACCTCTCCGAGCAGCTCCCAGAGCTCCACCTGATTTTTATGTGGAGGGCACAGAACACAGGACAGCCCTGACAGAGGAGGGAATCCACCCCTGAATCCTCAGCCTGTTCCTGTCTGCAGGGACCGCAATCACTCTCAGTGTCTGGGCTTTGGGAGTTCAGGGGAGATGGAATGAACACTCCTGGATAAAATTTGTATTCCCTTTCCCTGGCTCTTTTGGTTTTCATGTGGATTCAGGTGGATGCAGAGCTGCCAGGAGCTGCTGCTGCTGTGGAAGAGGAACCTGCTTTGACCTTCCCCACCCCTATTTGTGGCCAAGCACCTCAAAGCAGCACTGCTGGAGCAAGAACAGCTCCTCCCTTCCTCCCCAGCCCTGCCAAACCTCACCAGCTCGGAGCTCTGGCAACGTGGCAAAGCTCCTCATGGATTTGGAGGGAATGGATTTGGGGGAAATGGATTTGGAGGAAATGGATTAGGAGGAAATGGATTAGGAGGAAATGGATTTGGAGGATTTTTCCAGCAGGAAAACCCAACAGAACTCTGTGCTCTAACACCTCTGTGCCATGCTCTGCCTGGGCCCCCAGAGGAGTGTGACATTCCAGGCCGGGAGCCTTTCCCTCCCCTCTGCTTCCCGAGGATTCCTGTGCCTGACCTTTCCCGTTGATTTTGATCTTCATGGGGATCTGCCGGGCCACGCTGAACAGGTTTCGCTGCAGCGCCTGCTGCACCAGCCGCTGCTCCTCTTCCGACATCCGCGCCGCCTTCTTCTCCGGGGGCTCTCCCGCCTCCAGCCGCTCCCTCAGCTGCTCCAGCGTGGCCGTCCTGGCCGCCACGGCGCCCTGCTGCCCGCCCAGGCTCACGGGCACGGCCATGCGGCTCGGCATGGACACGCTCAGCGGCACGCCGTCACCTGGCCGAGAGAGCTGGCTCAGCCACGGTCCCGACCCCCCGCTCCCACACTCCGAGGCGGAAACCGCCGCCGACCGCCCGGCAAAGCACCGTGGATGCGCCGCTGACCTTTCCTGACGGCCGGGGACACCCGGGGGTTGCCGGTGCCGCTGCCCGGCGCCATGCCGATGATGGGGAAGCGGATTTTGGGGGGGGACAGCAGGGAAGGAGGCGCTGGCGCCGAGGGCGAGTAGCTGAACAGGGAGGAGCTGTAGCTGGGCCGCCGGCCCTCGCGCCGGTTGCCGTCGATGGCGGCCTGGAGCTCGGCCGGGGAGCTCAGCGACTTCTTCTCGCACTCGTAGGCGTAGAGGTACTTCATGTACCTGGGGAGGGACAGAGATCAGGGCACGTGCTGCTGGGCGAGGGAAATATCTGCGATAAACCAGCCAGAATTCACTCAGAACTGAAATATCTTCCATAAACCACCCAGAATTCCCTCACAATTGAGATCCAGAATTCCCTCACAACTGAAATATCCTCAATAAACCACCCAGAATTCACTCACAAGTGAAATATTGTCTATAAATCATCCAGAATTCCCTCACAACTGAAATATCCTCAGTAAACCACCCAGAATTCACTCACAACTGAAATATTGTCTATAAATCATCCAGAATTCCCTCACAACTGAAATACTGTCTAAAAATCACTCAGAATTCCCTCACAAGTGAAATATCCTCAAAGAATTGTCCAGAATTCCCTCACAAGTGAAATATCCTCAAAGAATTGTCCAGAATTCCCTCACAACTGAAATATCCTCAATAAACCACCCAGAATTCCCTCACAACTGAAATATTGTCTATAAATAATCGAGAATTCCCTCACAACTGAAATACCCTCAAAGAATCATCCAGAATTCCCTCACAACTGAAATATTGTCTGTAAATAATCCAGAATTCCCTCACAACTGAAATATCCTTGATAAACCACCCAGGACTCGCTCACAATGGAGTGAATCTAAAATCCTAAGAACTCAGACCTTGGACCACAACACTTCATTCAAGGAAATTTTTAGGAATTACCCCTGTCTAAGGCATTTGGACCAGCACTAAACCTTACCCCTTTTGAGGAGTTTTGCCTCACGGGTTTGTAGGAGACAGAGCCCAGGGGAATGGTAAGGAGCTTCCCTCTTTGGGACTCTAAAAACCTCCCAAAAAACTGAGTCTCCATAGAAGCTGGGATGAAATATCCCCTATAAATCACCCAGAATTCACTCACAACTGAAATATCCTTGATAAACCACCCAGAATTCCCTCACAACTGAAATATTATCTATAAACCACTCAAAATTCCCTCACAATTGAGATCCAGAACTCCCTCACAACTGAGATATCCTCAAAGTATCATCCAAAATAGCATCAAAACTGAAATATCTTTGATAAACCACCCAGAATTCCCTCACAACTGAAGTATTGTCTATAAATCATCCAGAATTCCCTCACAACTGAAATATCCTCGATAAACCACCCAGAATTCCCTCAGAACTGAAATATCCTCAATAAACCACCACAATTCCCTCAGAACTGAAATATCCTCAAAGAATCATCCAGAATACCATCAAAACTGAAATGCTGTCTATAAATCACCTAGAATTTCCTCACAACTGAAACAGCCACAAAGAATCATCCAGAATGTCATCAAAACTGAAATATCCTCAAAGAATCATCCAGAACTCCCTCACAACTGAAATATTCTCTGTATTGTCTATTCCTTCATTGCTAAGGCACAGTTTCACCCCGTTCAATTTTACAATTTCACTTCTACTTGTCTTTTTACCCTCCTTATCCCACTTTTCCTTCCCCATCCCTGCGCTGCAGGTGTGGTAACCATCCCTCAAAGGAAGGAGGAGCTGAATTGCCAGGCATTAAACCAGCAGGAGGAGATAAAAAAGGCTGGGTCTGTAGGGAAGTGTGGATGGGAATTCCCTGTGGGAGCTCGTTATTCCCAACTCACTGCGTGCGCAGGGTGAAGGCAGCGCTGGTGATGGAGGTGGGCAGGTTAAGGCCTTTGGTGATCTCCCTCCAGATCTTCTTGTTGATAATCTCCACCAGCCCACCCTTCTCGGTCACCAGCTTGTAGAGCATGTAGAGATCCAGGATCTGCTTGGCCATGATGGGGATCCGGTTGATGGGAGTTCCTGCCAGGAATAAAAAAACAAGGAGCATGGAGAGGATGGAGTCAGGGAGGGGAGGAGGCCGAGGGCACGGGCAGCCTGGAGGGGGAATCCATCTCTCTCCTAATGGGAAATTCAGGGAATTTCAAGTAAATGACGCAGGGAAGAGCGGCCAAAGGGCACGGCCCTTCCATGGAAAATCCTTTCCTGTGGGCAAAGGGAATTACCGGACCAATAAAAACTGGAATAGAAAGAAGGGAAGTAGGGACTATTGAATGAGAGGCACAAAGGAATCAGTTTTATGAGCTCAGGGTTAAAATCCTCGGATAAAAATCCTGCCTGTGCTCCCTCATCCCCCAGGACATGCCGTGCTGTTTGCCTGGGAACAGCAGAACCGCGGGAATCGGCGCCGGAGAACATCTCTCCCCCATGGAGACACAATTTCATCCTCCCTCACATGTGCAACGCTTGGAACAACCTGGAGAGGTAAATCAAGGCTGCTCCTTCCACAGAGCCTCCAGCCTCCCACTGCTTTTCCCCGATCACACTCCCAAATAATTCCCTGACGAGGCCACGGCAGCTCTGGGCATCCCAAAGCCAGGTCCTGCTCCATCCTCCCCACATTTCGGGGAGGAAAATCTGATTTTTAACCCGTCAGCGCCCCTTTGGCACCTCCTGGAAGCGCTAACGCCCAAACCGAGGAGGTTTAGGCGTGGAGAGGAAGAAGGAATTAAAAAAAGCTGAAGTGGCAGAGCTTTTATTTGGCCTGGGAAACTCTGTCCTGGATCAAAGGGCCGCCTGGGCCAGGGCAGCATCCTGTCCCCACAATGGGCAGCCCCAGCCTGGCAGGAAGGCTCGGGAGGGGGCAGGGGACAATTGTGGAGTCCCCAGGCCCCGGGGGAGGCTGGTGCCAGCCCCAGCTCCCCGTTTATGGCCCTTATAAACGGGTTTATTCCGTGCCATGAAAGGAGCCCGGCCCTGCAGATGTCCTGCTCAGACATCCAAGGGGGATTTTTTCCCCCCCTCCTGCCTTTTCTTCGGGAAGCCTGTGAGGCATTATTAGCTGGTGGTGCCAATTCCCACAGGTTAACGAGATGCTGGATAAAACAGCCCATTTTTGCAGCCCCCCCCTGCAGATTCAAAGCGTTCAGGAGCGGTTTGAGCAGGTTTGGATCAATTCACATCAATCCCACCCTCCTCCCCTCTCCTTTCCCTGCCCACCGAGCGGATCCCGCAGCCTGCAGCGCATTTCAGGGGCACAGATCCCTCAGGAAGCACGGAGGGAATTCCAAACCCTCCAAACTCTCTGTGGCTCCATCCCTCCCGCATGAAAAATCCTCGATTTGCTCCGTTTTTGTTTTTTTTTCCTGAGGCTCCATTTGGTCTCGGGGCGCTGGGAGCAGGGTGACAGCGCCACGGCATCCACGGAACACTGGGAATCAGGGAATGATCAAGTTACCTCGAGCTGTCACTCATCACCTGAGTCACACCAGCAGGGAAAACATGGAAATACTTCCAGAACACGCCAAAATTCCTCTTTTTTCATTAATTAGAGCAGCAAAGCCTTTGCTGGGCTGGAGGAGGATGAAGCCCCTCTCCCCCCAGCCAAAGCCACCCAATCCAATTTAGGGAATAGCATTAACTTGTCCAGAAGGGACTTTCAGCCAGCTCTCATCCAGATGGAGAGTGAAAGGGAAGGGCCACGGATAAAGCCCTCAGCAGAAACTGTGAACAAATATCTGCTTTTTAATACCCTGCCTTTCCCCCAGACACGCTTCTACCCTTCTGCAGGTTTCAGCAGCTCAGCAGCTGGGAAAATACAGCAATTCTCAATCCAGGTATTCCTGGGAGAGGCACAAACATCCCCTGCATCGGTGGGGAAAAAAGGGGGAAGCATTTCCAGGGAGCTGCTCCCAGCTGGAACAGGAGCAGCGATGGGGTCTGACCTCCCTGAACCACCTCAGCACCCCCTGGACCTGGACTTCACTTCCCTCCCTCAGCTTTGCTTTTAAACAGGACCAAAAGTGGCCCGAAATTTCATTTATGAACTCAGCTAAACTGAAATTTAGCTAGAAACGTGCATTTCTCAACTCGGCTAAACGGGGATTTCGACAGAAACACGCATTTATCAACTCAGCTAAATGTGTTTACACAGAGAACATAAATTTATCCACTGAGTTTTTATCTGAGTTTGGTTTTTTTCCCCCCAAATAAAATCTCTCTGTCCAGCTTTACAGCAGGGACAGAATGGCTCCCAGGAGCCGGGATAATTCCATTTTCCATGCGTTCCTTCGGCACCGCCCCGCGGATCCAGCAGAGAGCGAGTCGGGCTCTGGCCCCGGCGCATTCCCGGGGTTTTCCAGAGGGATGCGGTGCCCTCTCCTCCCCCAGCCCTGCCCGGGGAAGGCCAGAAAGGAAAGGTTTTTACTGGAAACTCCCAGAGCCGCCACAGGAAAGGCTGAAAGCCGAGAGCCCGGCGGATCCTGCGCCGGGCAGGGCTGTCAGGGGCCATGATGGATTACTGTCATCTGGCAGCGCCAGGATTAATGATCCCGGGGTCAGGGGGCAGAATTCCAGAGGGAAAGGTCAGCAGCCGGGGGCACGGCCCAAGACTTGTTGCCTTTTGATGGCAAACTCATTTTACTGTACCTCCAAGCCTCCCGCCCCGAGCCCCGCCCAGCTCCCAGAGGCTGAGGAAGATCCTCCTCTCCCAGCTGCCCTGGAAAACAGCTTTTCCTGCCTTTTAGCAGCTCCCTAACTTGGCTGGTCCCAGCCAAACAGGGGCAGGAGGAGCCGGTTCCCACTGGAAAAGGGGAGATGCAGATAAGTGTGGAAGGGGAAAGTGGAGTTGTCCCATGGAGAGGGAGGAGATTTTGGGATGCTGCGTCCCCAGAGGAGCTGGATTCCCATTGTCTGGAGATCCCAGGGGATTGGGATCTGCGCCTGCTCCCATCCTACCCCCACTTCCAGGAGTTCAAACACAAGGAATGGTGGATTCCCTGCTGGGTTGGGAAGGAGCTGAAGGAGCAGGAATGGTTTGGGTTGGAAGGAGCTGAAGGACAATGGAATGGTTTGGGTTCAGAAGGAGCTGAAGGACAATGGAATGGTTTGGGCTGGGAAGGAGCTGAAGGAGCAGGAATGGATCAGGCTGGGAAGGAGCCGGAGAACCATGGAATGGTTTGGTTTGGGAAGGAGCTGAAGGAGCAGGAATGGTTTGGGTTGGGAAGGAGCTGAAGGAGCAGGAATGGTTTGGGTTGGGAAGGAGCTGAAGGACAATGGAATGGTTTGGGTTGGGAAGGAGCTGAAGGACAATGGAATGGTTTGGGTTCAGAAGGACCTGAAGGACAATGAAATGGTTTGGGTTGGGAAGGAGCTGGAGAACCATGGAATATTTTGGGTTCAGAAGGAGCTGATTTTCTGAGGAGAAAGGTGGCCATGATCTGGATTTCAGGAATCAAGGGTTTCCCCAGAGGAAGGCTGACTGGAGCCATAAACATTTCTGGCCTTTCAGGGAATGTCTCCCCTTCCAAAGCCTCCTCTGTTCCAGGCAGACGGATCGGGAGCCTCAGGGGCTTCCCCAGAGAGACCTCAGCGGCCCCTCTGTGCCAAACTTGGAAAACCTGCTGGATCTGCAGCCTCCTGGAGCTCCTGAAGGGGCTGAGGGAGCTGGGAGCCCCAGGAAAGCCTGGAATGGCTGGGTTTACACGTGGGAAGCAGCTCCTGGGGAAGGGGATTAACCTTGGACCGTCCTCTCCCTCCCATCCAACACCACCCCAGGCCTTTGCTCTTCTCCACTCCCCCGTAGCCAAACCTGGGAGTCAGACCCCAACTGAGGGAAAACTGCCCCAAAATAACTGCCCCCACCCCTCAAAAAAACCCCTCTGAGGCTTTGAGCCGAATTCCAGGGAATTTCAGGAGTTTGCTTGGCCTCTGTGCTGGAGATTTCCTGCTTGTCCTGCACAAAGGGCACTTAATCACACCCAGCCCTGCTTTCTCAACCACCTCCCACCTTTCCCTATCCAATTTCCCTGCCCAACTGCCCAAGTTTCACAGGCAAGGAACAAAGGAGGTGAGAATCCCAAGTGTTTGGACATTGGAATCCCGCTGAAACGTGTCCCAGACTGAAAAAACAGGCAGGGAAAAGACATTTTTAAGCCACAATCTGGAGCAGGTACATAAAAAAAGCTGCTCTTCCCACTCCAAATATGTTGGGAGGAGATGCTGGAAGGGGCAGCCAGAAGGAACAGGTTTTCCCCAGGAAGCTGGGAAAGTCCACAGGGATTTGAAACAACATGGAGCCAAATCTCCAGAACAGAACTCGGTATTTCTTTCGAGGGAGGAGCGGTAATTCCGTGGGGTGTGGGAATTCCCAGCCAAGCAGAAGGAAATCAACTCAGCCCCCACGCTGCCTCAGCTCCTGGTTTGCCCAAATCCGACTCCAAGGACAAATCCTGGCTGGTTCAGGGGGTCAGACTGAGCTTTACGGGGTTTGGTTCTCTAGAGTTGGGATAAAAAGGAACAGGGATCCCATGGAGAACTGCAATCCCTGATCCTGGAATGGGGATCCCTGGAATGGGGATGCCATGGAGAGCTGCAATCCCTGATCCTGGAATGGGGATCCCTGGAATGGGGATCACATGGAGAGCTGCAACCCCTGATCCTGGAATGGGGACCCCTGGAATGGGGATCCCATGGAGAACTGCAATCCCTGACCCTGGAATGGGGATCCCTGGAATGGGGATGCCATGGAGAGCTGCAACCCCTGATCCTGGAATGGGGATCCCTGGAATGGGGATCCCATGGAGAGCTGCAATCCCTGGAATGGAGATCCCAAACACTCTTCACCCCAACTAAACCCAAAGCAAAGCTCCTCTAAGCCAGGACCAGACAAACTCCTCACTCCGTTTTCCCGGGAAATTACCTCCAATGTGATTTTCCTTTGGAGCTAAAACAATATTCCCTCTAAACCACTGTTTCCAGCTGCTAAAAGGGATAATCAATGTTTACTTTCCTAGAAAAGATTGGGGTTTTTTCCCCCCAGATCTTTCCAAAGGGAAAGTTCCAGGTTTTTTTCCAAATTCGAGGAAAAAACAAATTCTCCTGCCTGTCTGCCAGAAATGTTTTGTTTTATAATAAAAAGGGGGAGAAAGTTTGGGTTTTACTGGAAGGAGCAGCTGCAAACTTCTCCTAAATAATTGGAATTTGCAGGTAAACTACCCCAAAATACCAAATGAAGATCTGCTAGAGGCTTTTGGCCCCCTGGCAAAAAAAAAGGTGGATGAGCAAGGCCTTCCCTGGAGGAGATTTTGGGATGCTGCGTCCCCAGAGGAGCTGGATTCCCATTGTCTGGAGATCCCAGGGGATTGGGATCTGTGCCTGCTCCCATCCCACCCCCACTTCCAGGAGTTTAAACACAAGGAATGGTGGATTCCTTGCTGGGCTGGGAAGGAGCTGAAGGAGCAGGAATGGTTTGGGTTGGAGAGGACTCTGAAGGAGCAGGAATGGTTTCTCCTCTCTTCTCAGAGAGAAGAGCTGGATTTGGGGTTTTTTGGGATTTTAGAAACACTTTGCTCTCAGAGAGGAGCAGATTTGGGTTTTTTTTGGGGGATTTTAGAAACACTCTGCTCTTCAGAGAGGAGCAGATTTGGGGTTTTTTGGGATTTTAGAAACACTTTGCTCTTGGAAAAGGAGCAGATTTGAGTGTTTTTTTGATTTTAGAAGCACTTTGCTCTCAGAGAGGAGCAGATTTAGGGTTTTTTTGGGGACAAGGCAGCTCTTCAGGCTGGGATTGGGATTTTAGAAACACTTTGCTCTTGGAAAAGGAGCAGATTTGGGTTTTTTTTTGGGGAATTTTAGGAACACTTTGCTCTCAGAGAGGAGCAGATTTGGGGTTTTTTGGGATTTTAGAAACACTTTGCTCTCAGAGAGGAGCAGATTTGGGGTTTTTTGGGATTTTAGAAACACTTTGCTCTCAGAGAGGAGCAGATTTGGGTTTTTTGGGGGGGGAATTTTAGAAACACTTTGCTCTCAGAGAGGAGCAGATTTGGGGTTTTTGGGATTTTAGAAACACTTTGCTCTCAGGAGAAGAGCAGATTTTTGGGATTTTAGAAACACTTTGCTCTCAGGAGAAGAGCAGATTTGGGGTTTTTGGGACAAGGCAGCTCCTCAGCCTGGCATTGGGATGTTTGTCAGCACACAGTGAGAAGTGATGCCTGAATCCTTATGGTTATGCCTGGATAGGCTGAGCAGCTCCCAAAAAAACCCCACAGCGGGATTTCCACCTACTCCCTGCCCCCCAAAACCCTGGGAAGAGCAGGAATGGGAAAAAAACGGGCGCACAGCTGCTAAAAAATATTCCCTTTGCAGGACTGGCGCAGCAGTTGGGATTAGGGAAGGAGGAGAAGCCACCTCCTGCAGCTCTACCCACACTCTGCCCCGTTTTCCCAGTCTTCCCATCAACCTGGAGAAACTGGGCTGGCTGAATTCCATAAATCCAAACATTCCTGGCCTCTCTGAGCTCCTCTCCCCCCACAGATGCAGCAGCAGGCAGGAAAACAAGGGAGTCTACAGCTGATGGAAAGCTGCACTCCTCCAGCTGGTGAGCGGCCCAGCCCCAACCCTGGGAGTGTTAATTATCAATAATTAACGGGGAAGAGGAAGCAGGAGCTGGAGCACCGGGTGGATTTCCAGGCCCTCTGCAATCCATCCTGCCCCTGCCCTCAAAAGCCAAAAATTCCAGCCAAAAATCCCCTCTCAGCCTGAGTTTAACGACTTGGAGCTGCTGGAGAGGGAAAATCCACGTGGGAAAAAGGCTGTGTTGGATGGATGTTGCTTGGGAAGAGTTCCCAAGTGGCACCCTTGGAGGGACAAGAGGGCACCCCAAACCTTCAGAGGTGCTTCTTTTATCCAACACCACATTTCAGCACATATTCATTATCAACAGCCTGCACTGAGAGCTGGGTTTGGAAAACTGACAGCCTGGAAATCGCCAGGAAAAGATTCCTGGGATTTTCAGGGTATGGACAACACCAGCACTACACTGGGAGGTGAAGAAATTGAAGTGACAGGGCAGATTTTCCCTACTGCTCCCCCAAGGGAAACGCCCCAAGTGTTTTTAGCTCCTGGATTTGTTATTTCAGCCTCAGGAGGGAGGAATTCCCTCTCCTGCCCCGTTTTACCCATGGAACTCAAGCGAGTGGCACTCACCCCTCTTCTGCATGAAGATGAAGAGGTCATCCAGGAACTCCTTCCGCTCAGGATCGCTGTCCAGTTCGTACAGCTGCCAAGGGAGGAATGAGCCAGAATGAGGGCACAGCTCACAGGGAGACAGAAAATAAAGGAACACTGGCAAAGGAATAAAGGAAGGCAAAGAGGGGAAATAGGGCTCCTGAGGGATTTGGTGGTCTGAGGAGTCTCACTCAGCCCCTCAGGGACTCATCCAGGCACAAAGCCTGGAATCCTAAAGGGAACGGGATTCCCAGAGCTGGGAAGGATCTCCAAGGTGATCAGATCCAACCCTCAGCTCAGTCAGCGGCACAGAGCAGCGCTGGAAACTTCCCTGCAGCTCCTCCCTTCCTCCTTTAGGGATTGGCACCTAAGTGCCAAAGCCCTGGGAGGAGGAGATGAAAGGACAGAGCTTCCCTGTGCGCCTGGCAGTGCCTCCAAATAAACCAAAACCCTCCAGAAGTCGGCTCAGAATCCGTTTGCTGCGGGAATCCTTTCTTAGCAGAAGGCTGGAAACGCTCAAATGGTTCGAATGAGGTTCCCCAGGCAGCATGTCCCTCAAGGAGAGAGGTTTTGGGGGCTGAATTCCTGGGGACCTCTGGGAAGGGCAGAGCTGCCTTAGTTTAGTTTAAACTGAGCTCCTCCAGCTGCTGTGACACATCCAAATCCACGAGTGCGGGATTCCAGAGGGAAAACGCTCAAACCCCAGCTGGAGCAAAACCCAGACTCGAGTTTTTAAATTTTCTGGTTGTTAATTCAAGCTCTACCCCAGAGCAAACCAGCCCCAAATCGCAGGACAAAGCAGTTTTCCCCACAGATTCCCTCCAGGCAGGGCTCTGCCATGGATCAGGAGGAGAATTCCCCAGATTCCCCCTTCCCAAAGTACCCACGCCCAGACAGACCTTGGCAAAGTCTCGGGAGATTTCTCTGCCCCGGCATCCGTCGCCTTCGTCGCTCCAGGTCACGCTGCCGTTCTGGGGAGGGAAAAGCAGCAAAGGAGGGAAGGATTCCCAAGGAAAGGCTCCAGAAGGTTCCAACACATGGATTTTTAGGCACAAACACACGGAAAAGCAGCTGCTGGCTTAGCCCGAGGTGACAAGAGAGGTGGAGGGGGGCATTTGATGGAATTTCCTGGGATCTCTCACACAAAATGGGAACTGGAATTTCACCCCCCAGGCACATTCCCTCCCCTCCTGATGAGCAGGATGCCAGCTCCTTCTCCTCTGTGGCTCTGCTGGAATGAGACCCAGCTCCTAAAGAGGCGCTGCTTTTCCTCCCTGTGTCCATCATTTTTTCCAAGGGCACATCCCAGAGCCCCCCAGTGAAAGGTGTTAGCCTTCCTTCCCATCTCCAGGTGACACACCTGGAAGAGCCCTGCCATCGTCCCCACGCTTCCCTGGAAAACCAGGAGCAGAAGGAGGGGAACAATCCCTCTGGAAAGCTGCTTGGTACCCTGACTCCCGGGAGGATGTGGATTTTCCCCCCTCCCCGAGAAATGGAAAGCTCGGCTTTGCTGGCTTAAGGCTCGTTAAAAGGATTAATCTGATTAGACCCTATTCCACTTGGGAAATCACCACCCTGGAATGGTCTCTGAGGGCTGGACACCAGCAGCTCCAGCTGGATGGGAGGCCAGGATGATCCTGAAATAAATCCAGGCACCGACTCCGTAAAGTCCCGCGCGTGCCGGAAAAAGGAAGGAGGAGCCAAATCCACCCGGCCAAACACACGGAGAGAAAAGCTGCCAGCACCCCCAAAAGCACCCCCTGGGAATTCCTCCCTGGGAACCCTGGGGCGGCTCCAGCACCCCAAATCCCCTGCCTGGGAGACACACACTGAATCAGGAAGATGAACAGCTGGGCCACGGCTCCATGCCCAATCCCGAGACCCGGAGTGAGCTCCCTAATGCCCGCTGATTTGGTTTGAGCCAGTAATTCCTGCTGGAAAGTCAATTACCCCATCAACTGAGAGATATTTAATGGGGGATTATTGCCACTTCTGTTCTGTCAGCTGTTTGCAGCGGAGGATCAATTCCCAGCCCTCTCCAGGCAGGGATGCGGGGTCTGCTCGCAGGAGGATCCATCCCAACGTCCTTTCTCCTGGAGCCTCTCTCCCTCTCCATCCAGCAGAGATTAAACCCACAGATTTCTGCTAATTATGGAAGCACCCAGCTGCTCCTAAAGCCCTACTGACTGTTTTCTGGGATCAAATCCGTGGAGCAGCCAGAATCAGACACAGCGGGGGCAGCAGCAACTTCCCATCCTGGACCTTCCACGCTCCTGAGGCTCAGGGATTTGGGAAGGTTCAGCTTTCTTTGGCTGCTCCCTTCCCAGGTTTGCTCTTGGATATAAATCCAGAGGGCAGAACTGGCTTCCAGAGGGAATTCTGGTCACGCTGAGAGCTTATTCCGCTACATTTGAGGGCAGGGGTGAGAAAGAAGGAGGCAAATTCCCTCCCGCCAGTGGGTTTGAACTTGGGATAATTCCCAGGGGGAAAACTTTTAAAGGGCTTAAAGACTCGTGAAAAGTTAAACAGAACACATTTGGCTTGTTCTCTAGGGAATAATAAAAAATGGGTGATTAGAACAGAATGGGAATGGAATAATTCCATCCCACTTCCCATCGCTCCAGCCTGGGATTCTCGGGAGTGCCTCCTGGGAAAAGGAGCTTAGGGGGAGCTGGAGCCACCAGGGTTTGGCCATATGGCCACCAAACCAGCAGGGCCAGCTCTCACCTGGCGTGACCCTGGGGGCTCTGGGCAGCCTCAGCACCTCCTCCTGCAGCAGCTGGGAAGGGCTCAGGGACAAGGAGAGGGCTCCTCAGCCCGGGGCATGGAGATGTGAGGCATGGCAGCCCAGCAGCAGGGAATGAAGCTGTGTTGATCCATGGAAAGCTGCAGTTATCCATGGAAAGCCGCAGTTATGCACAGAACAGGCCCTTCCCCAGTGGTGATCCCAACTCCAGCACAGGGAAATCACCAGAAGCGCTCCAGATGCCCCACAAAATCCTTTCTGCCCAGCAGGAGAGCTCGGGCTCCAGCTTCCCTGCCATTCCCACTGGGAATTCCTCCTCTGCAGGGACGGCAGGAGAAGCCCATAAATCCCCGCAGGGCATCAGGGGACCCTGGGAGAAGCTGGGACACCGGGGTCCCCACAAACACTTCCCATTCTCTCCAGGACAAAACCCGAGGGATAACAACTGGTGCCATCAGATCCAGGCTCATTCTGCCCCTCCTCACTTTGGACAGCAGTTTTAGGCCAGCAATCTGCTGGAATACCTGCCTGGGGATGAGGCTGAAGGCCCAAGGAAACCCCTCCCCTGCCCCGTGGGTCGAGTCAATGAAAAGGGATGAGGGGGGGGCTGCAATTTCAGGATTATCAGGGAATCCACAGAAATTCCTTCTGTGGGCAGAGTTAAGCCCTAGGAAGTGAAACAGATGCTCCCAGAAAGAAAACTGTTGTAGTACAAAGGCTGATAAGATCAGGGCTGCTGCCCCGAGCTGCGAGTTCTCAGGCAGGGAGAGCCAAGGGGTAATTACTGCCCACACCAGCTCCCCTGGAATGGGAATCAACCCTTCCCTGCCTTCCTAATAACAGAGCTCAATTCAGCTTCAAAGGCAGCCCTCGAAAACATTTTAGTGATTTCAGGAATGGCAGGGAGGATGGGGAAGGGGAGGGCTGAGGTTTAACCGATTAATTGCTTTTTTTTTTTTCCTTTAATTAAGTTCCTTCCGTGAGCAAACAGGAACCTGCTCCCTCATCCTTGAGGAAAAGCTGGGCTCTCTGAACGCCTCCTGTTCCCAAAGACTCCGAGGAATCAGCCAAAAGCCGAGTGCCAAGACTGATTTGGAGTGAGAAGAGGGATTGTCAGTGCCAGCCCGGAGTCACGGCTTTACCCCGGAGCGAGAAAAACGCGAGGAAACAACACATTCCCGCTCCTCACACCTCCTGTCTCCAGCCTGAATTCCCGGGAACTGGCACTGCAGCAGACAAGCTGCCACTACTCCTATAAATAAGTGTGGCACCTGAACAAACCCCACAAGTCTGCTCCTTTTCCTGCCTCCGGAGCCAGCACAGCCCAACTCACCTGTGGAATTCTGCAGGTGAGGAGCTGGGGAATCCTCTGAACCTAAGCCAGGGATTTCAGAGAGAACCCAAAGCAGAAGAAAAAGCAGGTGTTTGCTCTCAGCTGGCAACGAGGGATCTCCTCCCACCGCAGCATAAAAGGGAAAATACCCCCAAAGGGCCTGAAAATCCAACCTTGGAATAACCACAGGGAGAAATTCCCCTTTTTTCCCCCTCCATCCTGGATTAACGGGTCTCCCCCGAGCAATCCCTGCACTCCAGGCACACACCCGAGGTTATGGAATGCCTGCCACTCGTTCCCCCAGCAAAGGCTCAGTAATTATTTTAGGTAATTATTTTAATCAACAGCCTGACCTCTGGCAAGGTTCAGGTCCCAGCGATTTCTGGGAAGAGCCATCCCCAAAATCCCGGGCACAAACCGCTCCTGGTGAGCGTCCCCACTCGCTCAGGCCTGGAAATTTGGGATTTATTCCCACATTCCTGATGCAAACGCCGGTGCTGGTGCTGCAGCAGCCCTGGTGGAGCAGGGGGAAGCAGCATCCAGCCCTGCTCCTGTTTCCCCCTGCTCAGCCTTCCCGGGAATCAGCGGCATTCCCAAGCAACGTGAGCACCCACGGGATGAGGACCCAGCAGGTGCCCAACCCCTGGAATTAAATCCTCGCTTTTCCCCAAAACCAGCCCTTTTCCAGGAGCTGGGATAGGTTTCAGGGCATTCCAGAAGGTTGGAGGAGTCCCTGCGCTGACAGAATTCCCCATCATTCCAAAATCCAAAATTCCCATCCTTTGGCCCGCAGCCTCGCCCTACAATTGTTTCCTGGGATGGGACAGAAGTGGCTTCGTTTTCCTGGTGGCTCCCAGATTTCAGCCTGGGAAATCTCCGCGTCCTGGGCAATCCCAGGCTCACAATTCCAAGGGATGCTGTTCCCCAAGGCTTCCAGAAGAACGAGTCATCCCTGAGGAAAGGAAGTGACTTTTCCCTCCCTGTTTCCATGAACATCCTGCATCCCAGGAATGCTCTTGGAGCAGGGCACAGGACTGGCAAAATAAACTGAAAAAAAAGAAAAGACTCATCCAAAAGTAATTTTGGAAACAAACCAGAGGATCTGATTTATCCTGGATTTTTTCTGCCCATAAAAGACAGAGAGCAAAGGAAAGAGCCCACCCCTTTAAAAGATGCCTGGATATTAAAGATTCCAAGGAATTAAACCCACAGCTCCCCACACAATTCCCTCCCTTTCCTGCCACTCCAGGCCCCCCTGGTTTTATTTCCCAGCTGGGAACTGGGCATCAGCAGCTCCATTTGGATCCCAACCGTGGATCCAAGCCAATGGCTGTGCCGGGGACAAAATTTTGGGGCAACAGGGCCTTTTCCTGCCATGTTTTCTCACTGTTTCCCAGAGCACAGCTCCACTACTTCCTTCTAACATGCTCCTGAGCTTGGTGTCCGTGGATTCCTCCCATTCCTGCCTTTCCCAGCAGCAAAAAGTGGTTTTGTTTGAGTTTTTCCTGCTGAACCTCTGGGCACTTTGGGCTGCTGGATTAAAGTGGCCCAGGCACAGGAACAGCCTGGAGTACGTGGAATGATGTTTTATTCCACCTTTCTTTCCTCCTCTTCCACACAAGGCAAGGCCAGCCCTGGCTGGTTTCAGGGACAGTGAGATCTGCAGGGCTCTCACCAGGAACAAACTTTTGTTGTCAAGGAACAAAACCAGCCCCGGACTAAGCCGAGCTTATTTGGCTTTTTAAAGAAATGGATCCCTTAAGACCTGAGCCCTGCCTCCTGCTCCCCACCCAGAGCCCTAAAAGAGGAAGTTTTCACCACTCCCATCCAGTAAATTCCGAGGCCCCTGACTGACAAACCCGCCTTGTTTCCCTGCAGGAGCTTCAGCAATTCCCTCTCCCCCACCCAGCTCCTTGGAGGAAAACCAGCAGCAAGTGTTTCCCCGGGGTGTTTTACAGCCCAGTTCCCCGAGGAGCTGGGCTGGGAGCTCCCACCTGCTCTGCAGGGACAGATCCCAGCGATCTACTGACATTCCTACTGAGGGAATGATACCACCATCCCTGGGCTACGAGGAGGGAACGTGGAATTAACCTCCCACGAGGCAGCAGCAGGCCCTTTCCTCCCCTTTCCCCTTTCCCCTTTCCTCTCCTCTCCTCTCCCTCTCCTCTCCCTCTCCTCTCCCTCTCCTCCTTCCCCTCCTGCCTTCCCACACATGGAATATAAAGTGGCTCTGCCTCCCAGGATCAGGGCACATCTCCCTGCCTGCCCATGCCAGCACTTGGAAATTCACAATTCCAGCATCCCAGAAAGGGATCAAGGACAAGAAACACCAGGCTTTTCCCAAAATCCCAGCCCACAAAGGCTCTCACAGAGCAGGGACTCTATCCCAAGCTGGAAATCCTTAAAGGCTTTGGGAATTCTTTGGGACCCTCTCTATGGAGGAGAGTGCTCCCGAGTGCCTGTGAGGATGGAGGTGGTTTTTTGGGAGAGGGGAATGGCGGCACTGACCTGTTTGAGCTGCTGGTCCAGGCGCCAGCCAGGGCGCCCCGCTGGGGCTCCGGGATGGTTGGCAGAGTCTTTGCCCTGCTCCTCCTCGCCCTGCTGGGCGCCCCGCGGGTGCCCCACGGCCGGCACGGGGCTGGAGCCCGCTCTCTGCTTGGGCTGGGCGGCTTTGGGAGCGCGGAAATACTCCAGGGCAGAGCAGCTTTCCTGGCCGGGCACCTC